ATTTTTTTTTTGTTGTATTAAGAATAAAAACTCAATAAAAATACTTTGCTAAACCCTCGGTTATGCCACTAGTTGGCTTTACAAACACTAGGCTGATAAATTAGAAAAAAGCATTGTGTGGGGCTTTATGTTTTGTCTCAGTACACACAGTCAGAATATTTAATCATCCATACTAACTGCAAATAACATAAAATAGTTTTTTTATTCAGTACCACAGTGGGGAGACTTCTGGAGCTAATCCAATATACCTTCAAGAAAACAAGATCATCCACCTTTAATGTCAAAACTCATGTTGCCTTCAGCCTCTTACCTTTTGTTAATAAATTTGTGATTTGGAGGAAAAAGAACAGAATCTGAATCCATTTGCTGACAGACATTAATTAAAATATACTTAACTAGGCCTTATTCTGGAACAATGTGCTGTAATTCCCCTTATAAAGAGCTTTGCATGCAGAAGATGTGAAACTCATGTGGTTGCCATAGCTTTGCTCCTTGACTGAAAAGTCCATTGGCCTGTGCAAGAACCAGACAGATTTTCTAATGTGGCTCTACCTTTTCCAGAACTACTACGTAAGCATGGATTTTTTTTCCTCAACTCATTTAGGATATGCACAGATATCAACATATGGTGGTTAACATACTTAGCAAAATTGTTGAATAAATATTGCACGTCCGGAGGTAAAAACGAGATTCAGATTAAAGAGGGTTTGTATAAACAGGATTTCACTATGTAACCTGTGAGAGTATTACAGGTACCTCATCAAAAGCCATGGAAAGGTTAGGAAATGCTTTTGGGTCTCTTCAGTGAAAAGATATGTACTCATTTTTTTCAAAGCATGTATAAAAAAAAGCCTTTGCAGCGATTGTCTTTCATAGTTCCCATACTCACATCTTGAGATTCAGAAAAAGATACAAACAGGCACCAATCCTAATGTCAAGTCATGATAAGTCAACTTCTTTTGCCCTTACACATATTAAGTAGTACCTTACTCCACAAATTTTCCCACTGAGTCAATGGGACACATTGCTGAGTAAGGTTCATACTTTAATTTATGAATTGCTAGGCACATTCACCCACAGTGACAAACTCCATGCCCCCAGGGTGCAATTTTTTATTAACGTTGAGATTTTCTGGTCTTTTAAAAGAGACACAACAAAAACTGTAGTGCATCACCCACTGCATTTGGTAAGAAATGTTTTGAAAGAGCTGTATCCATTCCATAGTTGGAACTAAAAAAATAATTTAGTGTTAATAGATAACTGTAAAACACTATTAAATTAGAGAATGAAGAAACACATCAATTTATATTGTTCCTCTGCCAAAACAAAACTTGCAGATCTGTTTTAAGGTGATAGCATTTAAATTACATGATATATTTGAAAAATATTTAGTACAAATGCCTTGCATTTTAGAATTTTCCAAAATACTTTATCTCATCTGACTTAGAAAAGGAAAAGAAAGAAGAAAAATGTATCCTTGAAGGATATTAAACAAAAATTTGAATTAAATAAATATGATACTGGAAAAGATATGCTTTATACCATATTGAAAAGTACATGTTATATGAGCTGTAATGATACTATATGCTATAATTAAGATTGCAAACTTGCTGTCATGTAGCGCATAGCATGCAGGTTCTAGGTTTACAAGAATTGATGCTGTCGATTAAAAAGAAATTTCTGACTATCTAAGGAAGCGAGATGGCAAATTAGCTGACAAAAGCGTCTATCCCCAGCACATCATGCTGTAGGACTAAGAAGCAGCAACAGTGGCTGGAATCCCACACGGGGGTGCGAAAGTGTCAGCCTTTGCTTGCAGCAGAGCGCGGCGGCACGTGCGGGCCCTTCTACGTCTCTATCGGCTTATGAAGGAGTCTAGTGATTACGGTGCATTTCTTTGCCTTTGTCATTGTAGTGGATTGGAGCTATTGCAAATAGCTACAATTTGGAAAGACTTGGGGATTACAGTAAATGACAACAGGGATTTTTTATTGCATAACACACTAGCTTTTTTTTTTTTATTCCTCAGGAGATACAATATCGAATATAAGCATCCTCTATTGTACCTGTTTATTTCATAAGTCTTCATTTTTTTCCAAAGTGCCTGTCAGACTGCAAACACAACAGCACCCAAACTGTCCTTTCCATAAATACTTGTGGTCCATTAGACCTAAACCAGGGACCTGCAGCTGGTCAGTGGAGCTCTATTGCCTGTTAATTAAACATTTGATAACGAGAGTGCTTGGTGGCCCCAGGAAACCTGGGTGCTAACAAAATTCCATTCACACAACCAGCTCAGGAAACTCTGTTGTAATACAAAATAATATTGACACTTAGATTCATTTTTCATATGTTCTAGTAGGTATAATGGAATTCTGTATACCTCTTCTCTAATTTGCTTTGCAAAATGTATTTTAATGCTGTACAATGAGACATCAAGTACAAATTTATTTTGTGTCATTCGTAGGAATAAATGAAATAAATATGTATCCAGAACTAGAATTATCAAAAATACTTCTCATTCCTCTGTTTTAGGAAGATATACAATTGCTGGGCTGAAAGAAGTCCATTTTGGTCCATTCCCTCCTCTGAGCTAGCAGTTGTCAGTGTTTTCCTTCCCTTCAATTATTTGCCTTGTTTTTATCTTAAAACAAACAAACAAAAATCTGTAGCTGCTTCTTTTTATGACCTTTGTTATTCATTTGGCAGTTTGTCAAATAAACTTCTTGCCAAATCATTTTGTTCTCATTTTGCCTTGGCTAGCATTCAATGCCCTGTCTCTTATGTCTGCCACTAGTTCAAATAGTTTTAGACCATTATTTATCTCTCCTCTGTGCAGAGCTTGGTGCACACCAGTGACATTCCCTCTTACTCTTTCCTTTTACAAAGATGACAGACCCAGTTTATTTTAAGTTTTTATTAGATCTTTCGGTCTCTTTATCTTTTTGCTGAGCTCTGCTCCACCTTTTCTATTATGAGCATGATAATAAAGACCAGACTGTGTTGCTCCTCCTTGTGTTCAACGTATATTTCACTATGAGTGATCACACTGCAGTCAACAGAGGTTGCTTATGGAGTAAGGTACTACTCAATTCAAGATTCACAATCTGCCATGGAGTGATCAGAACTACACACAATATTCCAAGTTCAGAGAGGTAATTTCCTCTGCTTTCAAGTACATCTCTACTTATGAGGCTTATGTTGTTATTATTTAGCTTTTGCTTCTGATTAATTTTATATGAAAATAGATATTTTTAACCCACTCCTGGCATGCTGGTTTATATTTAGTCCTGCTGATGACTCAGTCCCATATGTCCAGCTTCTTAATGTTAGAAATGAAGCTAGTCTGCAGTGCTAATCTCATTTTAGTGACCACCTCAAGCCCCCCTTTTCTCCAGGTTGGGATAATGAGGAGTAGTGGTCCTTCCGCTATTGCAGACTGTTTTGAGACTTCATATAAATGCCATAGAAAGAAGGAAGGATCTGGTAATTCTGACTACAAATGCTCTGTTTTACTTTTTCAGCATATGTTTTATATTGACTCTTTTCCAATCAATTAGTGCCTCTTTGCTGGTGAGATTATTAAAATTGCAAAAAGTTCCTCTGCCTCCTTTGATGTCTTCTGTAACTTTAGGATGGGCCCTGATAATATCAGCAGTCTTAATGAAGTTGAATTTCTTGAGGACCTATTTTCCCTCAATATTTTTTGGTGTACATATGTCTGGTCTTGAGATCCCTTACATTTTCTGCTGATATCGCTTACATTTTCTGCTGCAAACAAGGCAAGAATGCATATTCCTTTTTAGAAGAAATATCTATCACTTTAAACTGTGTGTAAGACTTACAGACTTACATTCTTCAACATTTTTGTAATTCACACCCAAAGTTTCCCAAATTAGGAAGAAGCATCATAGAGTTTCTGTCTATTCTTCCCTTTCACATTTTACATTTACAGAATTGTATTTTACAGAATAAAAAATATATTATTTTACTGAGCTGTTCTTGTATTTTAAATTAATTCTTAATTATTTGGCCACTTAGATGCACTTTTCCTTATGTTGCATTTATTATCAAACAGCATACATAGCAACAGGGTTAAATGTTTTTATCTATCTTGGACCACTTCCTTTTCCAGTCTCTTCTCTCTGATTCTGCTTACTGGATTTCTTCTATTTCACTCTACTACCCACTTGGTGTGATCTTTCAAAAATCTGAGGACTATCCCCATTGCTATATCAAGACAACCAAGACCTATGTATTTCTCAAAATTACACTGAAAAAGACCATCTTTGTTTTTCTTTGAAATAAAGTAGAAGTAAGTATCTGATCTTAAAAATCATGAGGATACTGCTCATTTTACCCCTCTCAAATCAAGCATACATAAATAACTATGCATGTGAGTATACAAGGAAATAAAACTTTGGAGGAGTTCTGTCTTCTTTCTCCCCTTTATAATTTTGCATTTGTTAGCCATGGATGCTTTATACCATGGAGCAGCACCACACACCTGGCCTTTAGGGAATAAACAGATTCCAAAAGTACACATATTGATGTGTATTTCAAAGGAACACATTCCAACTTGCTGCGTAAAAAGAGTGCATAGCAGCTTTGTTGGCTGGGACCTGTGGGGCACACGCAGTTCAGGTCTGCCCTTGGCAGCACTTACAAACGATCACCCCTTAAATAATGTATATAATTTGCTCTGCTTCCCTGTCCCAGGTGCTCTGTGCCTGGACCTCTTCCATCCATTCCACCTAGCATGGCACCAACTTTAGTTCTATCCACTATAACCCTGAACGCCAGCACATTTTTATTTATTTTTTTAAAGTAACACGTGAACTAACTTATCCCAACTTATCCCCCAAAATGTTAGGTTATTCTCTCTAGTGCACTGTGGTATATCAAATGCTGGTAACAACAAGGGCATGAAAACATAGAATATCTTCCAATTTTGTCTCAACGATTTTTTTTTTAACACACAAAAGTTTTTAGAAAAAATGTCAGCTTCCATTGGTTATTATAACAGATGTCCCCTTGTGTCCTTGTGCTGGATCTTGCTGCATCCTCAAGTGAGAAGTTACATCAAAATGTGATCCGTTGCAGCCCAGCGAATAGTTTCTAATGGTATCACTGTCATATAGATGCTCTAGAGCATATCCAGTTAATGTATAAGCATGCTTATCAAAGTACTGCCTGTGTGAGCTGTAATAATTTGGAGAAGCTGCTGGGTGGTCCCCCGGAGCTTGATGAGGGGACATGTCTGAATGCATGTAGTCTTTAGCTAGAACCAAACTAGATTTTGATATTCGATCAGAACTGGGGCTGTTTATCCTGGACAGCGTCGTGGGGCTGTTGTCATAGTCATTCTCATGTGGGCTCATAATCTTTCCATCCCGTTGCTGGATGTGTTCACAGGGAGGAGTGTTGGCCACTGTAGGGACACGGCAGACGTCCCCTGCCAACTGCTGCTGAGGGTAGTTTGCAAAACAAATAGCATGCTTTTTCCCTGTGCCATTAATGGAGACCAAGGGGTCAGGGGTTGTTTTCCGTAGCTGTAGTCTGTTTTCTTCCTCTTTAATCATTTGTTGGGTAGCTCTTATTAGAGTTTCAATTTTGCTGGGTTCATGTGGACTACTCTGATACTGCTCAGTACGGTATCGGTCTCCTGACTCACTGGCAGAGCCAGGATCAGGAGAACTAACAACACTGTCCTCATCCCAGTGTCCTCTCCCTAGGAAAGAGAGAAAGGGGACAAGCATTGAGGTTAAAGGTGGCACACAATCTTAAAGAATAAGTACTCTGAAACCTATTTTTATAGACAGAAAAGCAAGACAGAGGCAAGTGATTGGTAACAAAGTCATCAAAAATGACCATGGTGCCTACACCCCTTGCTGTTAGGAGACAGTCTCCAGGGTCATTCTGCCCATGAAACAAGTAATAAATAGACTTTATAGTATACAGCAAAGAGGTTTAAGCACCAATGCACATACATCTGATGCCATTTGAGACACACTAGGGCAAGCAAGGGGTCTACACAGGCCCAGCCCATATGACACAGACTCTAGGAGATCTGTATCTTCTGGAAAAGCCAGAGAATGGGCAGGATACCCGAGGGCAAGTCAAATTGCATTTGATGCTCATATTTCTGCCCAGACTCCCACTTGAAATGTCTCATTACATCTTTGCATCAACAAATTCTGAGTGAATTGAGAAGATGTTAAAAAAAAATTTCCAAAAATCACAAGTGCACATCACCAGTCTTAACTGTAAGTTAGTTCTTATCACAAGGTGACTAAAAGCCAGAACAACAAAAGGATATTTGAGAACACAAAAGGAGAAAAAGAAGCAGCCCAAAGAAACTGCTCTAGCAGCAAAGCTCACATACTGTTGTCAAAATTGCTTAATTTGTGAAAGGCAAAGGTTTGAAATTAGTACATTTGTACATTCCCAAGAGAAATTGAGATGTTTCTCTCCTCAATAGAGACCAACAAGTCAAGTTTTGCCCTCAAAGCTAAATGCAGACTGAAGGCCCAATGAAACAAGATACTTTTAATACAATACAGTGTATAACTGCAGCACCTGGAATAACAGTCAAACCAAAGAACACACTAAAATCAAATTATATTATCAGTTTAGAATGATTACTCTGAAAAAGTAGGAATGAATATTTAACCTACCTTTGCTTCCTAATACAATATTTCTGTATTACTATCTAAGTCTTTAAACCCAAGTACTTTTGAGTTTACCGAAGCTCAAGATCAGCCTTTCAGTGTGAATTTTTAAACAACATCAGCCTCCAAAGATGGGTTTGGGTTATGCAACCTGCCAGACACAAAGCTTGACTGGAGGCTTGGTGCTGAAAATGCAGTGGCTCAAGTTGACTAAATAGTATAGCAGGAGTTAAATGTCAGAAATCAAAAAATAAATGTTTATTTGAATTGTTAGTTTTAAATAAAATAAATAGTAATTCTTACATAGTTTAGCAATAACCAAATGCAGACAAAAAAAAAGACCCTTTTCCCCTAAAAAATGCAATCATTTAAACCAATCCAAATTTATTGAAATATATCTCACCAGATCATTTCAACTAGTTATCACATGAAACTAGGCAGTCCCTAGTAAATCCTAATAGCTAATCCTGGAGTTCTTTTTTATCTCATTTGGTTAAAAACTCAGTCAGATGAATATGTACATGAACTAAAGTTCTAAACTTCCTGAAGCTGAAGAAATAAATTTAACACTTGTCTTTTCTGTCTGGCTGAGAAAATTTAAAGTACAAGTTTCTTAATGTTTTTATGCACAATCTTTTATACAGTTTTAGTAGTTATATAACTAAAATAGGGAAATAATTTCTTCAAAACTTTTAAAGTTTTTTTTAATTAAAGATTTTTAAAAATATTTTTAATATCTAGATGGCCTTAATTCTAACTGAAATTTTGTGTTACATATATTTATCCAGGCCAGTTTGGCTTTAGGTCAAAGAAACAAAGAAAAAGGCTTTAGGTCAAAGAAACAACACGCTTCCATTAAGCATGGCATTTTGTTCACATTATTATTATTCACATCTTCCTTAAGACAAGATCTTAAGGTCTTAAGATTAAGATCACCTTAAGGTAATTAGGGTGATATTAATCACCTTAAGATCACCATGTCCCTAAGTGCCTCATCTACACATTTCTTGAACTCTGCCAGGGATGGTGACTCCCCAGACACTTAAGCAGCAGCCTCTCTTTGCCGTGACTTGGAAACTCCTGCCATACCAGAGGTGCTGCCACTTCTGCAGACCCATGCAATCTCTTACCGTGAATCCTGTGCACGGAGGCTATGTGGGGCATGCTGTTTTCGTAGGCTTCCCTGCTCTCAGGGGACGACTTCGTGAGGGGCAAGGCGGCGCGAGAGCCCCACCAGCTCTCCCTGCCGGGCTGCGGCGTGCCGAGGAAGTACCTGCCCGCTTCGCAGCGGCCCCCTTCGCAGGCCTGCGTGTGGAAATGCCTGTCTTCGGCCAGCCGAGGGTGGTCGAGGGCGAAGCCGTAGCAGAGCGCGCCGCGGTCCGAGTACTGCCGGTAGGCGCAGGAGACGTCGTGGTGCTGCGAGCTCGGCCTGTCCACAGGCTCCAGGAGCTGCGGGGAAGCCGTGTCGGTCAGGGGGCTCCCGCCCCACTGGCTCTCGTGGTCGGATTCGGATCGCTCTGTGTGAAAGCTGGAATACTGCGAGGCAAAAGGAGGAGAGGGGAGGATTACTGAGCTGAGGTGAGAGCAGCAGCTGAAAAGATGCAGAGGGTGCGCGTGTGAGGGGGTGTTTTTTGTGAGCGTGCTCACACGTCTTCATCTTCTTGTTGAGCTCCTCATCCACCCATGTCTAACACTCTGTAATGAGCTGGCAGATGACAGGGCAGATCTCATGAAAGTCTACAACATCCGTGTCAACCCTTAACAGCCATCTCCTTTATGATGTGCAACCCTAGGCGTTCCAACATTGCTGTTGTAATTCAATATTATTTAAATATTTCCAGGTTTTCCCTTACTGCTTTGAAAGCTAGTGCTTATGTTCGGCAGTGGTGCCCCACTGCTCCTCTGCAAAGCGCTTTCTAAAGGGATCAAAATAACACTTCCAGTACCTTCTCTCCTGTCAAGCTGAAACTGACTGTGTTTGCAGGTTCTTGCAATTTCTAGATGTTCATGTTAAGTGTTTCATACCTTTGGATAGTTTCTAGGGGGAAAAACGCTTATTAAACCTCCTAGGATTTAGCTATCTTATTTTTAAATCTTTTTATTTATTGATGCTGTCAAAATTCTCAGAGCATTTTTAAATCAATTTGACTCACAATTACGGGTTGGGATGAGACCAAAAGCTATGCATGCTCACCTCTTCAGGGCTGCGTATTCGTATCACAAATCAGTGTGTTACAAGGTATAAATTTGGAATTCTCCCCTTCTATCACTCACCTTCCAGATGTCTGCTCTGCATTTTAACAGGTATGAGGCCTCTCTCCTGCAAACATATGCTTACCTTCCTTCTCATTAGATTGAGTTGCTATGAAACTCCTCATTATCAGCCAGGATCAAGATTTTATGCACTCACCAATTGAAAGTATTGACCATATGTTTGACTTACAGAAACTTAAACCATCTGTGCAACATCAGTAGTGGAACTACTTGGATTTTGGCATTTAATTGGCTATTTCTTCAGTATTCCAGTTCATATTTGTGAATACTGTTTGTTGACAAGATAGGTTATTTAAAGAAAAGCAAGAAAGGACAGCGGCTGTGCAGATCTAAAATTGTATTTTGTTATCTTGTTCTCAAAAGAAAACCCTGTAGGCAATACGCCTACTGCACACAAGCCTGTAAGCCAGCACCGCAAGACAGAACCACCCTATTCATCCCTAAGTCTTAGAGTTAAAAGGCTAAATCTGATTTTACATGGAGGTTAGATAGCTACAGAGCCACAGAGAAGTTATTTCAAATGCCATCAGTTCAGTGTAAATTAACTAAGAACTTTTTTCAGCCATCGCAGTGTTATGTGACCAACTAGAGCAAATAATTTCTCTATTATATTTTCACAACTAAAGACTTCAAACTGCCTAATCACAGAATATCACTATAAATTATTCTGAATTTATTGTAAACATTCTAACAAAAATATGTAGAAAAAAAGAGGATTAATTAAAAAATAGAAATGATTGAAGAACTCAATTATTCAATTAGATTAAGAATGAAAATTCACATGAGAAAAAAGCACATTTGTATCTCTTATTTTGAAAATAATTCTAGCACTTTTCACATTTCATTTTTATATACAAGATTTTTAAAGATTTTTTTTTACAATTTTTTAATTTAAAAAGTTACTTAAACCAAAATATGAGATAACATAAATATCAGTACAAAAAAGTTTAAAGCTACCTTCTTCTACTGGAAACAAAATTGATAGCACACATTTCTTTCATGAGGCAAACAAACAAAATTAATTTTCAACAATATTGTTCTGAAATTTCTGGGTTTGATCATGTATCATAGTAATCAGTATTAAGATTCTTTCAAAACTAAAGTTTTGAATTCCATGAGTCTAGTAGATAATCAGCTAACCAGCTGATTATCAGATCACCAGCTCCCTGTCCCTAAAAATACTACATTTGAAGGGAATATCTTCATATAACTGAAAACTGCCTATTCCTTTTATATATCTTATAATGTCTCAGAACATTCAATTGCACAGGGCCTTCATACATTTTTCTTAAAGAGTGGAAGACTATTTCAAAGGCTTCATGTTCAATGCATCAGAAAGCACCATGTAATGCCATATAACCATGTAGTCAAAATCAACAATACTTCATACATATTGTTTGTACTTGATGTGAATTATGATTCTTTGAGATCTGACCTATGGCAGCTGCCAGGCCATGGGCAGGATTAAATTAATATGCGAGTTGCTTGTGGCCCACATTGTCCACTGAGGTTTGATATAACTGCTTATTCTCAGAGAAGAGCACAAGCAGGCATAGCCCCAAAATATGTTTAATTCCTTTAAAGCTAATCACATCTCAATTTGGCATCGTCAAGTGGCCTCCACTGCTTCTGTCCTACTGCTGTGTCTCTGGGAACCCGACACTGACAGGTGGAGGGTACAAATATGGGTATGCACAACACGCTAAAGGGGGAGGGAAATGAAAGGATGATCAAAGATAGTCCTCTGCTAAAATGGGAGTAGAAACCCTATCTCTCAAGTCAGAATTAGGCTCCCATATGTCAAGCGATGAAAGACCACAGGAACAGGATTAGATTTAATGAAATTAGTATCAGTGAATTAGGATTAGCGAAAGTATTGGTGGGGTGTTGTTAGCTAACCAGTCCTGCCTCTCCAGGAATGTTTTCCTTTCTGCTAATCTTTTTAGTTCTGACTCCTCTCTCGTAAAATTTATTATTTGTTTTATTTGGCAAAGTCTATTTTAACCAGCAGACAGCAGTCAAGACAAGATGAAGAACTTTAAGAAAAATAATGCCTGAAATTATTTCAGGTGATTTTGAATCATCTTCCAGCATAAATAGCAACAGGAAAGAAATTAAATGATTCTCCAGCTTTTTCCTGATAACTGAATTTGCATCTCCAGATATTAGAAATGTCTTCCAAAGTGCTAATTCAGTCCAGCATCTCATTGCAAACACACCGACAGGATTAGCACTGACACAGAAAGGGATTATTGACTATCATTGATGCTCCTTTTACTCCAAGAAAAGCTTTAGAAGGAGTGATAGGAGCAAGGAAACAGGAAAATATCAATTACGTGGCTGAGAAAAGTGCGAGAGGCCATAAAATATATTAGGCCAGTAAATAATTGCAGTATTTCTCAGGTGATTTTCTGTTACCTGACCTTTCATGCCTACAGGCGTCTTGCTGGCCTGAGCATCATCCTGTCACACACAGCAGCAGCAGCCTGCTCCACGCACAGTGCCAGATGTTCCAACAGTAAATGCAGTAGTTCTATAATTTTCTGACAGCCTTCTCAGGTTTTTATCATTATAAACATTAAACATGCAGTGAAATCCTCTCAGGGCACAGTCCTCTTTTCCATGAAAAACTTTCACTACAGCAGCATTAGCAGCTTTCCCCTTGATTTGTGTCTTAAACATGAGAAAAAAAAATCATCACAGATGCAGGCTCATTGTACTAAGAACATATGCATGCTTTTAAATCACTTTTATCTTACTTTTTACTAATGTAATCCTGAAATGTAAAATATGTTCTTTTTGCATTCACTATTATAGGCAGAACAGATGGTGAAAGGCTTAGATTAAAGTAATACAGCATGTCCATTAAAATAACCCCCACTGCTGGTGACTCTTCACTAGATCAGGAGTTATGTTTACTATAAAAAGAGGGTTTTGCTTTGCTCTTGAATGCATTGGAAGTTGCCAAAGCTTTAGGCTACAGTAACAAATGATAAACAAAAGAAAGGGGCTGATTCTGGTATCTTTACCCTGCTTTTTCAAGTAGTGGGTGATATGTCTGAATAGAGACAGCTTTCAGAATTAATAAAAAAAAAATTTAAGGTAATTATCAGTTGTATGGTAAATTATTAATATGCACCTAGTAAAGAAGGCTGTCACTTTCAAAAATAAATGCCTACTGTAACATAAACCAACCCCCCACTCACCAGTTATTGAATGTATCCTTGTTTGTGTGAATACATATATATACTTAGCTTTATCCAAGAACTATGAAGCAAGGATCCAAGAATCATTGGTAATGATTGCTAACGAAGCAAAAGAAATGAAGCAATAAAAAATTATCCAGATCTAACCATAAACCTTTTCCATTAGAGGAAAACAATAAATAATTTAAAACAATTTCTTTGAAAGATCATCATTAATGGGATATTAAACTCCAAAGCAGTTGCTCAGATGATCACAATTAAAATATTTTTTTCCAATTTTGTTGCTATTTCCTGTGTACAGAATAAATGAGGTCCAGGGCTAGCTTTTAGGAACACAAAATAAATGAGGTCCAGGGCTAGATTTTGGGAGCCCCTCACAATAACTATTATTATGGAGGAAGATTACAGACATCTTTTAATCAACTCACAATTTCCTTCTTTTGCATACCCCTACCAAGTCTTCATCTCTCCCATTTTCTTTCAGCTCTGCTTTGAACCCTCCTCCTCTCTGGTACAACAGCACTAGAAGACCAACGTTCAATGCTTTTAGGCAAACCCTAGAGTTGTGTGGTGGATTCTCAGTTGATCTTCTCTCTGCTCGCTCTTCTAGCCTGGGCTCACAAGCCAACTGGGCTAATGCCAGTTAGTGCTAGTTAACTCTCACCAGCACCTCTTATTCAATGACCTCAGTTTTGATTACAGAGTCTACAAGTGCTATGTAATCATATGTCTGCTTTAGCATATGGTTTGAGAAAAATAAAAAAAAAGGCATTAATACTGTGTTAGGTGAGCAAAGCTTTCTCTTTTGCCCCTAATAGTGAATTCCGAGATGAAATTTATTAACTCTGTTTTTCTTACAGCTCACATTTCATGCAGTTATCCTAGGGACACACAGCTGGCAAGGAGGGGATTCTCAGTCATCACCCAATAAAGCATATGATTCCCTTTTCTCCCCAAGAGTGAAGAAGCAAAATAAATGCTAAGGGGAAAAGAAAAAAAAAAAAAAAAAAGAAAGAAAAAAAGGAAGAAACTGCATAAATTTAAAATCTCCTATGTCCCTTAAATTTGAGAAATGCCTCTTCCCACTGCCATTATTTTACTAATAAACCTCCTGCTTCCTTTCCCTATGAAAACCCAAGCTTGTTTGTAAGCCAAAACACATACCCTCACTTTCCAACCGTGGCTTTTGAGTCACACTAATTCTCCACAACTGACTGGCAAATTATGTGGGCTGAAGGCTGAGGGACACAGGCAATACCACCTGCTGTATTTTCTTTACAACAGCTTTTCTTAGTCTTTCAACAGCTTTTTCAGTGGTTGAGAAGGATGAGAGGGATGCAAAGCCAAGCAGCCAGCGTCGCTTGCGGTGATGTGCTACAATGAACGGTATGGCCGTTTTTCAAGAGATTGGCAACTAGCACTGCTGCTTCTGTATGAATGACGAAATCTGTGACTTTACTACCACACAGCTGGTAATGAGGGTGCAAAATGAAACTGGAGACTAAACAGCCAAAGCTTTCAGCCAACAACCCCTGATAAAGCAACAGGCTCCACGCTACACTTACGAAGATGCTAGTTCAGGGTTTTTTTTCTGGTGGCAGAGAGAATAAAGTGGCGCTGATGAAAATCACAATTTCATAGGCTGAATGATATAGGTGGATAACAGGTCTTCGGGAAGGTTTGTCCTGCTACATAATGAGGACTTTTAAATGAGATATAAATGGTATTTTCCAAAACTTATAAGTGCAATTTAGGATTCAGCATAGTATCTTTTCTAATTCTTTAAAGTGGTTTTATTGCAGTTGTTTGCTTTAGAACATTCTAGAGGAAAACCTTTTTTTAGCAACCCACAGAAATATCTGTGAATAAATGATTAAACAACAGTAGTCGTAACAATCTATGATAAAATTAGATTCTTCAAATTAAGAATCTGATTTTACCTAGAGGCTGAGCTAAATAGTCTCACTATTAATAGCAGATGTCACTTAACAGAAATTTTTATCCTTGGTACTTTGGGGCAGAAAAACTGAAAAAAAAAAAAAAAAGGAAAAGATTTAGGCGCTTCAGTATGGGTTCACATTCCACACGTTATGAAGTCAGTTTATATCATGCCTGCAGAGAAACTCTAGTCATAGGTCATTATGGGCCAAGTATTGGCTTGGACTCTAAAAATATTTCAGTCTCCAATATTATATCATGAATACATACATTTATGTACACTGTAGGAGGAACTACTCCACTGAAGCAAGAGTCTAAGATTTGGATCACTGTTTAGTAAACACAAGGCTCGTTACAAACTAGATCTCTTTGAGCAAAACAATCAACAGTGTAAGAACGCGAATGCTGTGGCACTGCCCGTGGAAATCAGCTATCTAAACAAAGTACATAAGCTCCAATCCAGAGAACCAGTGAGGCTAGTTCATTCTATAAGGAGGGACATGTTCATAAAAACATTATGCATAAATATGAAATCTAAGAAATTAAAGTTAATAGCCAACTGCTAGTGCTTTCTGCCGTTCAAAGTTTTGTACATGAAAGATCATTCATGTTCTCATTCGGCAAGTTAACTCGCCCTTTTCCTCTTCAAAATTCACTTTGTGTGACTAACATTTCAATAGTAATCTGCTGTCAAACATCTGGCAACTTTCTGGATAAGATGAGCTTATTAAAGAGTAAGGAAAAACAAGACTTTGCAAATGACAAAATTCAGTCATCTCAAACCAAATAAGTATTTCAAAATAAGCATTTTCACTTGTCTTTCTGTCCACTCCTCATTAGCCCTGCGCTGTTATTGTTGTTGATGATGATTTATTATGCATGCTGAATCATAACTGTTTCCAGCTTTTAGAAACAGTTTAAAGAAACATATTCCTGTCTCAAGATCTTACAACCTGTCATCCTTCATTCCCTTTGCATAACACGTGCTTAGGCCCAATCTAGTTACTTGATTCAAGCATCAAACAAATTCAAGATATTCAAAAAGACTTAATTTTGTTTTTCAAAGACAGCTACCTGTGGGTATGGTGAGGTCCTAGATTTTGACTTTGTGCTCGAGAGACGAGATTTGCTTCCTTTTCTATTATCCGTTATGGTCGGAGTCGAATTTGCGTATGAGAACGCCGGCTTGGTAGCTGTGACCTGATCCAAGGAGAGCTGTAGTCCTTTGTATTCAGTATCCCTATATAAAAAGCAAAAGTGAAAAGCAAGCTCACTCCATATCATAATGGGAAACATACCTTCCTTCTTAGTGGAGGGTGTAACAAAAGACATTTTAAGGAAAAAGGATAAAAATATCCAGGGCAAGCCAGTATATCACTTCAACACATTTAAGTACTATAGCTTACTAAACAAAGCACTATTTTTATACTGACAATAAGATGACTCTTTGTATCCAACTGTTATTGTGAGCTACTTTCTTCAGTAACAAAAAACAATGGGATGGGAAATTCTGGGAATTATATTACAGTTCTGCTTTGCTTGCTCAACTAAGCAGTAAATGGTATACATTTTATACATTTTCCTGATAATTCTTTAACTGCACAACTACAAACTTACCACATATATGTGTTTTCTGTGTGTGTGTGTGTGTGTGTGTGTGTTTGTGTATGTATGTAAAACAGCCCATAGGTACAGACAATTGAATAAACTGAAAGAAAATGGCAAACACTTATTTTTTAAGGTTATATTATACATTATTTGCAAGTAGTTCAAGAAACTTGTGCTAATCTGTGAAACTTTATTCTTCAATGAGCCATATGAGGCTTTATTACTCTGATAGAAGCATTTTATATTGAAAGAGCTTTCAGCAAGAGAAAACACATAAAAAAATAAAAATATTGTAATTTCAGAACTAAATCATACACTCACAAAATGCTTAGGAGGAGTTGGGAATAGCAAAGGTCAGCGTTACTTTCTTCCAGCTTTGCAGTCAATACATAAAAGTAAGAAAGCCTGGTATTATTCACAGTGTCTTACTAACCTAAACAAGGGCAAATGCATCAGCCTGCCCCATCCAGCACACATCTGCACGTCTGCTGGTGCCCAGGAGAGTAAGAAACGAGCTCTGCGTCTTTCATGTACCCATACGGAACCTATTCTGACAATGATTTATCAAAGGAGAGCAAAGCAGAGTTTCTCCCTGACCTACCTACCTGGAAGAAAGGGAGATGGATTCATAGCTTTTCTCTTCCTTTGTGTTAATCAACAGAGACACAGGAGAGCAAGGGAACAAAAGTGCTTCTCCAATGTATGCATGCAGTCAAAGAGGCAAGAGGTATTCATTCATCCATACGTTACCTCACTCTGTCTGCATCAAAAGACTCATTCTAATCCTTAATGGACTATATTAATAATATATTTTTAGTCAGCTCTAGCAGTGAGATCTTGCTCTATGATTACATGTTTATTGATGTAAGCCATGCCAGTTTAATAGTTTTTGAGAAAGGACCTGCACAGCTCAGCACACTGAAACTCTTTCAGACAAATAGTCTGGCCACAAAAATAAACTTCATAAACAACTGCAAATGAAATAAGATGAATCTTTGGACAGCTACAAAAAATTAAACTGTAGAATAGGCAAATCAATTTATGTCAAATAAACTAAAATTTGTTTGTAGCTGATAAGCATCAAATCTGTTGGGAAAACAGATTCCATCTTGCAGGTTTAGTTTTTTAGGCAATGCAGGAAGGTATATATACTTGTGTGCATAAACACATGAAAATGAATCATTGTAATTAGAACTGTGCTGACTACACTGCTTCCAGGGTATAATGAACAGAGAGTTGCTAAATAAGGTGTTTTGAAACACAAATTTATTTCTTAACAAGGTCTTTTCTTCAACTTTGGGTTATATAGAAGTGGGCTTCTGCTCTAGCATTTGCTCTAGCATTTGCATCTCAAACACCCTGCCTCCAGTAGAAGCATCTGAATAGGGGTATTTGGCTTGGTCTATTTGACAGATAAGGCTCATCAACACATTTTGAAACCAGTGCTTAAACCATCTTTCCCGTGCTTACCTTCAGGATTTTTATCCAGACCCCCTTCATTTGGCAAGCAAAGCATCTTTCCTCATAACTAAGTGCTAACAAATTATCGGTATATAATACAAAACATCAAAAGCAAACATCAATTTATGTTTAACTACTAAAATAACATGAAGTATTATCAATACTTCTGGAAAATGTATGATTTTCACCATGAATTACATGTTCCCCATGACAATTTGATTATAAGTAGAATTAACATTGCGTCAGAACTAAGCAGACACAAGAGCTCACAAGCTCATAAACATAAGATTTTTTTTATTTGATTGATTGCTTTTATCCTGTGCCACCCTTTTAGCATGTGGCCACCCTGTGCCACATGCTCTAGGTGTGCCTGCTTGAGCGGGAAGGTTGGACTAGATGATCTCTAGAGGTCCCTTCCAACCTTGAATATTCTGAGATTCTGTGATCCTACTGACTGTTTTGTCTCTCTTTCTGCTGGAGAACCCATAATGCTGCATCCAGTCTATCTATCTCCTGTCTCAGATGTGTGACCATGATTTAATTTAAAGCAAAGTTTAAGGGGATTGCTGTTAGGTGTTTCCTCTCCAAATCCCTAGTATCACTAGGAATTGCCTTCCCAGAATACCATGCATTAGAATAAACACTAAAAGCTGGTATTTTCAGCTGGTTGCTTAAATAGTAGTATCATTAAATAAAGAATAAAAAGAAAGCAACGTGAATATCTTTCTGTTAAATGCAAAGTTTTACCTAAAAAAAGCCCCACATCTATAGTCTTCTTTCAAATGAAATACCTGGACTTTTTTGAATCACTGAAACATGATTCAATACATCTCAACCCTATCCTAGTATGGCTACACCTCAGAACAGTCAAGATAGACATCAGAACACCACTAGTAACAGGCAAAGATAAATACTGGAAGTGAAGAGAAAGGGAAAGGGAAAGGGAAAGGGAAAGGGAAAGGGAAAGGGAAAGG